TCTCATGGGGCACTTTAATTATTGTGTCATCTGCTGGGAGGGAAACACAGAGGTCCACAAACAGTCCAGCAATTTTTTAGACTGAGTTGGTGATAACTTTTTGATTTAAATGGTAGACAGGCCAACTAGGGGACAAGCTCTTCCATGCCACTGCTCTGCAAACTGTTTTCAGCTCTAGCGACAAACAGGTGTGGTCATATTAATTCATGTGCAGAAGAGATTGATAGTGAAGTAGTGGCGGCACTGTTAAGACACTCCAGGAGGCTACATTCCGTTTAATGAATCTGAATAAGAGATGCACATCTAACTATAATGACCGCAGTAGGACTAAAGATACAGTATCTTTTGACTTTTTTTTTTTTTTTTTGCCTAGTTGGTTGGGTTTTTTAAAACTTTATATATACTGTAGGTCAAGGGTGCTCAGCCTCTGGCCTGCCAGCCAAATCCAGCCTGCAGAGCCATGACACAGTTGACCGGGCTCCCTCAAGAGTTGCGAACTTGGCAGCAGGGAGCACTGTAAGCTCTGGGGGGGCGGGCTCCAGCCTTGCCACCCATTGCCTGCACGGTGGGATCCCCACCGCCCTCCACGCATCCAGACTGGGCCAAACTGCTCCTCCCACCACCCATTTGGATCAGGGTTGCTTTGCCCTCCCCCCCGGCCCTTCGGATCCAGACGGACCAAGATTGGGGCCTGGCCGCCCCCTCATCCAAAGTGGGGGCACTCTGCCGTGGCCCCGCATGGGGTGGATCAGGGTTGGGCTACGTGGCTGACTGGGCCAGTGGACGGGATCCAGCCTGCCTGAGGGATGGACCTGGCACAGTCCATCCCCCATCTGCCAGCCACCCTCCATCCTGGGCACCACTTCTCCGGGCAATGCCTGCCCTGGCAACAGCTGTGCGTGGTTCTGCTTCAGTCTGCAGCTGCCTGGGGGCGGGAGTCCTCCTTTCTCTTTAGCTGCAGGAGCACGTGTACTGGGACCTTCCGCACCGAGCCCTGGATCCGCACGGCCCCATGGGTCAGGTGTCCGGGGGACCGCCAGTCCAGCCCGCGACCCCAGCGGCGCTCCGGGGCTCGGCCGGCAGGGGGCGCTGCTCCGCTTGGTAGTCCGGGTTCTACAAAACAAGGGCGAGGCTTCAACGCCCTCAAGAAAGATGGCGTCTCATTTGCATCTCCAGCTGTCGGACAAATAGGCGCTCCTCCTTGTGGGGGTTTTGGTGACTGGGGCGGTCACGTGATCGGTGTTGCAAGATGGCGCCAATGCCGGGTGGAGTGTCAGCGGTGCAGACCGTTCCATAGCTCCGGGTGCGGAGGGGGAGCTGGGCCGTGCCACCGCCGACGGGCAGCCCCGCCAGGTGCGTGCGTGCGTGCGTGCGTGTGGGGCGGGCAGCACCCGGGCTTGGGCCGGTGCGTCCCTGCGTCAGGGGGTTGTTACCGCACCTGGGTGTTGGCTGCAGGCGGGGCAGGGGCGCCTGTGGGTCTGTCCTCTGTGCTCCGGGTGGCACCCATCCTGTATTGGGCATTAGGAAGGGAATTTACCCCAGTGTCAGACCGGTTTGGATGGGTAGCCCTCTAGCCTAGGTAGATGGCCCTCTGCCCTGCCCCAGGGATCTCCAGCATCTATTGGTGAGGTTTCATCGGAGCTGCGGTTGTCTGCGGTGGTTCTCCTGCTGTACCTCAGTAGTTTCGGGTGCCAGGTCTGTGTTGTCAGGCAGTCTGGCGTAGAGCTTAGATCAGTGATCACTAGCCTTTTTATGGTGAAGAACACTTTTTGTGGGGTAAGGGGCAACGCAGGATCTGCCTCGCCCCCCACCCCACGTGCCCCTGGATCGCAGAGAGTCCCAGACCCAGCCGGGCTGGGGCCTGACGCCACGTTCCTCTGGTTGTCGGGCAGGCACAACTCGGTCCAGCAGCAGCACAGAAGTGGGGTTGGGGCCCTCTCGTGTGAGTCTTTGCTGCTGAGCTGAGCTGTGCCTGCACGTGGCCAGCTGCAGCGGGACTTGAGGCGCAGCAGCAGCTGCCTCTGTCACCTCCACCCCCGCAGAGATGGGGAGGGAGCCCCCCCACACCCCTGGAGGAGTTCCCCCCGGGCTCCAGTCCTCCCACCACCTGGCCAGGCTGGAACCCAACTTACCTTTCCCTGCTCCTGGTTGGGCTGAATGGTCAGTCACTCACCACCAGGGGCCTGGATCTGGCCCTCGCCCCTTCCCTTCCCCACAGATTGGCCTGCTGGAGCTGGGGGTGGCGGGTGTGTACATGTGCACATGTCCAGCTGCCTGCCCAGCCCAGGATCAACCTGAAGAACCTCTGGGATATACCTGTTGATTGGGATCCCCAGGTTGGTGACCACTGGTTTAAGGTTGTGCTTTGTGTAGGATGGTTCGATAGGGATGTGCCTCAGGCAGCAGCTGGATGCGATGACCTCTGGAGGCCCCTTCCAGCCCAACTTCTCTAGCATACTGGGATCTAGTCCCACAGACTAGACTAGTGTCCCTAAGCTGGTTTGCAGGACTGACCCCTCTAGACTATCTGCGGCACTGGGTCCAGCCTGCACGCTGCTGGGCATGGGTTGTTGCAGGCCATGGGCTGGACCCAGTGCTGCACACAGGCTCTGTGAAGCACCCTGTGCTGCCTGCAGCCCATGGGATGCTGGGACTAGCTCATGTGGCACGTGGGGCTGGGGTCAGTCCAGCAACGCACAGGCCAGTTCATACAGCAACATGGGCCAGATCCAGCCCACAGGCCATATGTTTAATACCCTTGTCCTAAGGGAAAAGTAACTCATTCTGAAGGTGTTCTGTTGACTTTAGCTTTTTGGGCTGACAAGCCTGCCGCTTTTACTTTCCCTGCAGAGGTCACTAGGCCAGCACTCTCTATCAGCACTGTGTTTTCCTTAATAAACAAACAAGTGGATCCCTGGCATTTCCTAAGAGCACTGGATCTCTAAACAAGTGTCAGTGTGTGTTCCACAGTGCCCATGCTTGGGTCAGCTGCTAAAGCAAAGGTTGGTGTATGAGTCACGTTGCTGCCTTGGAATGTAATTCCAGACTTTCGCAAAACCCTTTGTGTTGTTTGATAGCCGAAGCTTGGCTTCTAACACTCGTCCTGTTCTGTTCCAGGCTCCCCATTTGATTTGTTGAAGATGCACTGAGGAGATACTTGGTGTGACAGTTTTAGGACAGCAGCTGGTCTCTTTGGATGTTTGTTTCCGCTCCTGGGAGTCCAATTGCAAGGGGAGGATGCATCCTTTTGGTAAAGAGGACACAGCCTCACTGGACCATCTCTTTGGGTTTTTCTGTGAGTGTGTACGACAGGGCGATTGGGAGCTTGCACAAGCTTGTGTTCCTCAGTTACATCAGCGGCAGGGAGATGACTCTGAGAAAGTGGAGGCGATACTGCATGCTCTGATAACTTGTCCCTCTCAGCTAAGGTAAGTGCTGGATGGTTCTTTTTTGTAATGGGTGGAAGTGTACTGTGCAGTTCCCAACAACCCAGAGTTGTGCTTTATTTTTGCATGCAATATGATCTCAAAATATAACTTGCTTCAGTGCCAAGCTATCTTCTCTTTCAGACCAGTATGTTCCCATATGTGAACTGCATAAACAGTTATGAAAGGGCTCTAGCTCCAGTAAGCTTACAACTTTGTTCTTTCACATGATAAAATGAGGGGTGGTAAAAGCTTAAGGATGCTCAGAAACCAAGAGGAAGTCAGTTTTGAGACTTCACTGAAATAGTACGAGTGCAAGGAAGGGCTGGGGGAGTTGTACTAGAACTGTAGTGCTGCTGACAGTCATCATTTCATCTTGAAGGTGCCTTTTCTGAATGAAGATGTCCATATTTATTTAAAGTGTTCTCTTATTACTAACAATGCCCAACGTTGTTAAAACTGAACATTTAATTATTCAATATTCGTCACTTATTCTCTTTACTTCTTGCAGGTCTTTCAATTTGGATATTGAAACAACATTTGGTTTTTACGTTTTTTTAAGTTGGTTTTGCTCTCTCTCAAGCACTTGCATAAAACTCTTTCAGGTTGGGTTTCTTTCAGTTCAGTGGCATGTTTATAAATTTTAAGAAGAGTTGAAAAAAATACCCCTCAAGTACCTCTGCTTGTTGAGTCTTGTAAAAATATTTTGTAACAATTCTTGGGCATGGACTTCATTGATAGTATTCTAGGAATTGCTCATGTCTGCAGGAAAAATGCATAAAATAAAAATGAGAGTTGTCAGCAAATACGCAGGACATAACAGGTATGTTAGACACCTTGATAGCTGCACCATAGGTGGCACTGATTTTGTCTAGAGTGTGAAGGGTGCTGGTCCTTTCTTCCTCTCTCCCAAGTCGAAGTGTTCCATAACACACTATATCTTGACCTGCATGTAAAGGTATTGGAAACATGGTAAAGCAGGTGGGAATTGTATTTATCCTTTTACTTTTCATTGAACACAAATGGTTGGTTTTGAGCTTATAGTTGAATCTGTGTGCAGTTGCGAGCTAATCGCTTTTATTCTTTAGCGGGAAGAAATACCAGGAGCAAGACTTAGCAGTACTTGGCAAACACATAATTACCTCTGAAATCTGCTGAAGTGTGAAAAGGCTTTTCAGCAAACTGAAGCTTAGAAAGGAAATAAGTTGTATTGTGGTTTGAAGTAGAGAACTATGGAAATAATTTCACGTGTCGAACACTAACTTGTTCGTTACAGTAGTGGTCACTGGAATCCTTTTTTTAAACAGTGTCCCCACTCACCATTTGACTGATCTTCAAAGTTTGAATTTCCTTCCTTTTTATTCTATACAGAAAATTATAAAGCTCAGCTGAACACTGGCATTTTTTTTTTCTGGGTTCTGAGAGTCGGATGTGGACAATCCATGCTATGTATTTATTATATTTATAGATGTGGGAAGAATTACAGCCCTCAGAGACTTGCGTGGCTTTGGCTTCTTGTATTGAAGAAGTGGCTGATATGCAGTAAGGTAAAAAAAAAAAA